AAAAAAAGTACTCTCAGGTCAGACCAAAACAAATATATTCTCTTTTGTTTTTAGTTTTGAAATTTTTAAAATGTTAACATTAGTGTGAGTGCATGATGTGTGTGTGTGTGTGTGTGTGTCTATGTAAATGCATTGTCTTTTTAGAAGATACGATTCTTGATAGTTCTGAATAGAGTCCAGATTTTTCTGTATAGTGCCTGCGGTTTTGTATGTTGTTAGTTGCTATAGAGTCAGCACTAACTCATGGCAACCTTATGTATAAAAAACAAATGTTACCTGGTCCTGTGCCATCTTTATGATGTATGTTTGAGTCCATCGTTTTGGCTGTTATGTCAAGCCATCTCCTTAAGGATTTCCTTGTTTTCACTGACTTTCTACTTTACCAAACATGATATCCTTTTCTAGCCATTGGTCTTTCCTGATGACGTGTCCAAAGTAAACAAGCCAAAATCTCACCATCCTTGCATCTAAGGGGCATTCTGGTTGTATTTCTTCTAAGACAGATTCGTTCATTCTTCTAACAATCCACAGTATATTTAATCTTCTTCACTAACAACACAGTTTGAATGCATCAGTTCTTCTGTCTTCATGCATGCATATGGGGCAACTGGTAAGACCATGGCTCATGTCAGGCAGTTGTGTATAAGTATCCTTAACGGATTCAGTTTGATAAAATTACAAGAGACATTTTTAAACAACTGAAAATAGTATAGTTGGTCCTTTCACAAAATTGAAGATGGCACCTTAGAAAGTTCCTTTTCCTTAGTGCAGTGATAGAAATTACATAACAGAGGCTCTGCCTACATGAGTAGTACAAGAGGAGGGAATGTGGAGTAGTGAACAAGCTTGGTCTTGTGAAGTCATCCAGTTGTGGTTTTGACCTTGGGCTTTGTAACATTAGGCATAATACTAAACCTCTTTGAACCTTTGTTAAACATCTGTAAAATGTAAACATACTGCCACCTGTTCCATGTGGTTGTGAATATTATAAGAAATAATGTATGCAATTTATCTAGTACTTTGCTAATCAGATAATAAGTTTTCGAAAAATGGTAATGAGGATGATGATTTTACATATGTCTTGCTTTGTACCTGAAGAGATTTGGGGAGAGTGTAATCTTTATTTATATTATTGCTTTCATTTGATTTGAGACCTGGGTTATTATTTTTTTCAAGTTGCATTTGTGTGTATATGTATATACTTAACACTTAAAACAGTGCTTTTGATTAGTGTCAAAGTATGTTGTTGTTAGATGCTGTCAAGTTGATTTCAACTCATAGTGACCCCATGTGACAGAATAGAACTGACCCATTCATTGAGTTTTCTAGGCTGTAATCTTTATGGGAGGAGATTGTCAGGTCTTTTCTCCCACAGAGCCACTGGGTGGGTTTGAACTGCCAACCTTTCAGTTAGGAACTGCACACTTAACCCATTGTGCCGCCAGGGCTCCTTTGCCAAAGTGTAGAGATATCCTGTATACACCCACTCCTCACATATTGACATGGTTAGGTTCCAAACACCAGGTTGTTACGTGAAAATTGGCATTGTATGAAAATGGAGGATGACCATATCAGATCACAGAATGGAAGACAACTACATCGTTATGTAACTGCTAGATTACATCATTGCATAACTGCCAAACCACTGAGAATCATGGCCCAGACAAGTTGACACATAACCTTAACCATCACAGCCAGTGTTACTCTTGCCTCGCACCTTGGCATTCGTTACTGCCAGATGTACATTGTTAGTGTGCAAAATAGTTGGATAGTAGACTTTTAAATATTATCATAAATGTGAAATGTTAGATAACAAGATAGTCGCTAAGTGGGCAATATGTGTAATAGGCCTTAAACTAATACAGTAATTGTTTTTTCTTGCCAGAGGATGTTTTCTTTCTTTGTGGGTTTTTTTTGCTTTCATTTGTTTATTGTTTTGTAGGTTTGTGATTTGAAAACACAATTCTCTGGCCCAAATCCATGTTACAGGCGTATCTCTATGATAGTAATCAAGAGTGTGGATTCAGTAACCAAACTGTATGGGTTAAAATTTGGGCTTTGTCACTTTGCTAGCTGTGAAGTCACCAGTCATGGTTTTGACCTTATAACTTTGAGCAATGTATGTGACTGTGTCTCAGTTTTCTCATATGTAAAATAAAACATTCTAAGTATGTTCTTAGTTCTGAGGACTAAGCAAGTGAATATATATAAGGTAGTTAACTTAATGTATGTAGTATAATAAGCCCTCATAAATACTTTCATTAGCTATTATTGACAGTACTCTTCATTCATTCATTTAACCAATACTTATTGCCATACACAAACATCAGTAAACAAAAATGTAAACAAACAAAACAAAAACATTAAGCAGAAATGACTTTGTCATTGTCCTTTTCAAACTTACATTCTATTGCAGGAAATGGCAAATGAATATATGAAGTCAGGCAATGGTAAGTCCCACGAAGAAAAATTAACAGAATAAGGAGATGGCAAACAACACCTGTTGCTGTCCAGTCAGTTTTGACTCACAGTGACCCTATAGGACACAGTAGACCTACCCCTGTAGGATTCGCAAGGCTGTAAATCTTTACAGAAGTAGACTGCCACATCTTTCTCCCACGAAGTGACTGGTGGGTTTGAACCGCTCACCTTTTAGATAGCAGCTGAGTGCTTAACCACTGCACCACCAGGGTTCCTTTAGCAAATAATAGAGGGTGTGCTATTCAAAATAGAGCATTCCTTTTATCTGAAACCACGCAAATATATGTAGGTTGGGGTGAATTTTGGGATATATTTTGAAAGTAAGACTGATAGGATTTGCTGATATATTGGATGTGAGCAGTTGTGCAAATGATGGTACCATTTACTGAAATGGGAAACACTCTGGGAAGAGCAAGTTTACATGTACGAGGAGCATAAGAATTTTGTTGTGGACATGTTGCTTTGGAAATGCTTATTGAACACCGAACTGGAAATATTCGGGAGACAGTTTGATACATGGAGTTCAAAGGAGAGGTCAGGACTAGAGAGAAAAATTTGAGAGTTGCCTGTGTGTAAATAATATTTCGAGTCACTGCACTTGATGAGTGAGTTTGGATAAGTAAGAGGAAATATCTAAGGATAGCCTGGGGACTGTCCAACATTTAGAGATCAGAAAGAGGAAGAGGATCCAGTAAAGAAAACTTAGAAGGAGTAGCCAGTGAGTTAGGAGGACAAAGTAATGTCTGGAAGCCTAGTGAAGAATGAGTCTCAGGGAGGAGGAAGTGATGCACAGAGCCAAGGCTGTGAGAATCAGATAAGGACTGAAAGTTGACCATTGATGTTGGTGACCTTGACAAGAACAATTCATTAAAGTTTTAAGAGCAAAAGCTGAACTAAAATGGGTTCAAGAGATCATGAAAGTTAAGGAAGTACAGATAGAGAGGCTACACTGTCTTTCAACAAATTTTGGCATAAATAGGTAGTTGGAGGGAGAAATAAGGTCAAAGGAGAATTATTTTGAGATGATTTAAGTAAAGAGTATTTAAATGATTTAAGTAGAAAGGAAGAAAATTGATGATGCAGAAGAGGAGAAATAAGTATATGAATGGAAGAGGATCCAGTTTACAATTGGAGGAGTTGGCCCTAGGTAGGAACATGAGTGTTCACACATTATAGCAGGAAGGAAGACAGAGTATATGGGCACACTTGGTAAATTTGGACATAGGAAAGTGTGAAAGTTTTCTTCTGAAAGATGTTGCTTTCCTCAGGGAAATAAGCATGGTCATGAACTGAGGGGGCAATGAGGAGTGTTAATTTGAGGAGAAAGTATGAAGTAATTCTCTAGGTAGGTGAGTGTGTGGATTAACTAGCGTGTGAGGTAGCTTGATTGCCTGGCAATACTAGAGTCCACTTGAGGTGCATGTCATAAATTTAAAGTGAGAGTAGTTGTCATGGTTGTAATTACCTATAGCTAGATATAGGCACAGGTATAGATAGGTACAGAGTAGGTAGAGAGAGTAATTTAGGGTTGAAATTTGCCATGCAGGGATGAAAGAAAAAGAGAGGGGCAGGGGAGCTGGGTATATGCAAGGGAGTGATTATAATGATGGGCCATAAAATCTAAGGTGGATCAGGAGGGAAGTAGGGCCAAAGTCGGTGTGCTCCAGCTAAACCAAACCTCTGTGCCACTAGCCACATTCAGTTTCTTACCTCTGCCTGTGTTCTCTGGAATGCCCTTCTTTGTTTTCCTTTCTGCCCACCTTTCCAAACACACACACACACCCACACACACACACACACACACACACACACACCCACACCCACCCCCGCCCCCAGTATCCACATGTTCAGATTTTGTCCATCCTTCAAGGGATAGCAGGCATGACATGGTGCATCCTTCTTGAAGTCTTCTCTCCTCACCCCCAGTGAACAGTAATCTTGCTTCCTGTTTTGAGCTCCTATAGCATTTTATCTCTAACTTTCTAGTTGGCACTTACAGTGTGGTATTACAATTTTTGTATGTATTTTACCTCTCCTACTACACTGTTTCATTCCCAGGGACAGGGATTATGTCCTTGTGTCCTCAGCACTTAGTACAATTGATGAGCGGTGAAAGCTTGGCAGGTCAGTGAAAATCTCAAGTAAAACAGTTTCTTCAACGTTCCAAAGCAGTTGTGGAAACCAGTATTTCATGGAGATTAGTTTCAGCTATATATAGTCTTTTATACTCATTATAGTGTAATACCAGGAGCCCTGGTGGTACAATGATTAAACACTCGGCTGCTAACTGAAAGTTTGGCGGTTTGCACCCACCAGCCGCTCCACAGGAGAAAGATGTGGCTGTCTACTTCCTGTAAAGATTTGCAGCCTTGGGAACGCTACGGGGCAATTGTACTCTGTCCTATAGGGTCGCAATGAGTTGGAACCAACTCGACGGTAGTGTGTTTTGGTTTATAGTATATAGCAATCCTGTATCATTTTTATCATCATCATTATTATTTCATTTATTTATCTTGCAGGAACATCTTTCCTTGAAGAAGTATATTGTTGACATTGTGGTTGAAAGTGCAACTCCACCAGAGCCTGTGAAAGATGCAGAAGAACGGCAAAAAAATAAAAAAAAGGCCAAAAAGATAAAAGCACGGATGAACTCCAGGTACCTTAACTATCCTTACAAACAACAGAACAAAAGAAAAACTTTACTGATGTATCCTTCCTTATTGTAAATCCAAAGGTGACCAGAAAAAAGTTTAAAGTTGTTTGCTTCAAGAAAACCTTGAAAATAGCACTGATGAGCCTAATATATAGCCACTTTCTTTGATTGAGAAAGAAAACTGCATATCGATCTAAAGCCCTTGCTTTCACCTATTAAGAGCTCTTCTTATAATTGGATGCCAAGGCCCTGCCAAACTTATGTATCCTCCAGCATACAATAGTATGTTTAAGTATGTGTAAACTAAGCCTATTTTTCTTTCCAACTATTGATTTTTAAATGAAGTATCAAAGAAAATCAATAGCAATCAACAAATAGAAGTCTGCTGGCTGTAGTGTCAAATCCCATGACTAAGTTTAATCAATTTGGTTGCCTGTCACAACAAGAGAAAGTTCGAGAAATATCTTGAAATGGAAAGTGAGTTGTCAGACCTGTAGTTTATCATCAGCCTCCAAAGTGACATCTGAAGAGCAGACAGCTGTGTAGTACATCATTACCTCACAGGCTTTGAGCATCATCTGATGACTGATGAGTCTTGTTGGAGGAGACAACTGTAGTTCCTCCTTAGTAGATAATCCTCTGCTATTGGAGGGAAGGTAGTCTGAAAATGTTGTTATCCTGTTATTCCTAAAGTCTCGATAAATAGAGAAGCTTGACCAATGGGATTATAGAAAGTATAGGACCATAATAATGGTAAATGTTGCAGTTATTTCTCACCACGTTCATATTGTGATCACATAGGGTGTCCAGACAGGGTGACTTCAGAGTGCTCATTCAAACAAAGACTAAAAGGCTTTTTTTATTTTAGTTTTTGAGGTCCCTCCAAATTTCTATCAAAGGATAGTTTCACAGTATACTGCAAGATGTACTGACTTTTATTTCTAGTTCATGCTAAGATTTTGCTGATCTCCTGACACTGGAATGAGCTCACCCAGTCCTATGACTTTAAATACCCTCTACCTGCAAGTGGCTACCAATTTTATATTCCAGTTTGAGTCAGACTTAATTTGTCCAAAACAAACGCCTGTTCTCCCCTCTCCCTAACCAAAACCTCCTACTATAGTCTTCTCTTTCTCAGTAAATAGCAACTCCTTAGGCCAAAAAACTTGAAGTCACTCTTGACTGACCTCTCCCACTCATCACATCCAATTCAACTAAAAAGAAAGGAGCCCTGGTGGCACAGTGGTTAAGAACTCAGCTGCTAACCAAAAGGTCAGTAGTTCGAATCTACCAGCCACTCCTTGGAAACCCTATGGGGCAGTTCTGCTCTGTACTGTAGGGTTGCTATGAGTTGGAATCCACTCAGCGGCACTGGGTTTGAGTTTTTTTTAATCTATTAAAGCAGTTCTCAAACTTTTTTGGTAGTAGGATCCCTTTTACATTAAAAAATTATTAAAGATCCCCAAGAGCTTTTGTTTATCTAGAATGTATCTGCCAATATTTATCATATTAGAAATTAAAACAGAGAATTTTAAAAAAAATTCATTAAATCATTTTAAAATAACAATGAAACCATTACTTGTTCACATGAATAACATTTTTTATGAAAAATAACTATTTTTCAGAACAGAAAAATCAGTGAAAAGACTGACATTTTACATTTTTGCAAATTTCTTTAATGTCTGGTTTAATAAAGAGAGCTGGATTCTTGCACCTGCTTCTGTATTCAGTCTGTTGTGATATCACATGTCATGTAGCCTCAACTCTATTGTTTGCTTGTAAGAGAAGGACAGTGAAGAAGTTTTGACTTGTGGACCTCCTGAAAAACTCTCAGACCCCCAGGGTACTCCAGATCACACTCTTATGAACTGATGGCCTACTGCATAAGAAAGAACTTAATAATTAATAACGGTTAATATGTTGCCTTATTGATACAAATTAAATCATGAAGCAGGACAGTGATGTTCAAACTGAAGTCCTTAGACCACGGGCACCAGAATCATCTGGGTCTTTGTTTTAGACGTATATTGCTGAGCTTCAGCCTATTGATTCTGATTCACGTGGTTTTAGGTGAGGAATCTACATTTTAACAAGCTCTCAGGTAATTCTAATGTACTCAACAATTTGATACCAGCTGTTTATAGGAATTTAGAATCGTGGAACCTTAGAGCTAGAAAAGACTTTCAAGAGTTTAGCTAGTTCTACTCTCTCATCTGACCGGTGGGTACAACATAGTCTCACAAAGGACAGTGACTTTCTAAAGACCACATTTATTAGTTTAAAAAAAAAGTCCTCATGTGAAATAATTAGACAGTGTTTCAATAAGGATCAAAATTAAATGGCAAAATGTTTGGCATAGGCATGTGGAGAAGGGGATGGATTGGAGAAACAAATGTGAGATAAATTTTGTTGGTGTTCTATGTGAGAGAGGGAGACAAACCAATACTGATGGTGGTTCTGGGGCATCCAGCTATATACTGATGTCCTTTATTGAAATAGGGGGCACAGATAGAGTATGGCCGAGGCTACAGTGAGTGGGTTTGAGCTCTCCAAGAGATACCACAGAGGAGCTAGTCGATAGTGTGTCCATTTTTAAGCCTGTTCAGTGTCTACTTATCCATTTTCATTGAAACTTATTTTTCTAAAAGAAATTCTTTCTTTCTAACCTTGCCTTGTCCATGAGTCTGTGTTGGTTATATATCAAGCTCTACTGCCCCCTGGTGGAAATGTATCAAGTGTTGAAAACATCACCACACCCCCACCGCCAAAAAAAAAAAAAAAAAAAACCTCAAAATAAAAGTAAATGTTTCAGAGCAAATCCAAACTTATAAAATTAAGATGATAATGTTAAAGAATATAAAGTTGAAAAAGTAGGGTGGGGTCAAATTATGACCCTGAGAAGGAACCATTATACATAACCCAGGAATGACATCAGAAAATTGGTGATTTGGGAAAGTTTGTCACCTGTGTTATGCTGGTAAGATTAGAATGTTCGGAATATGGGTGAATAGGAGATATTTACTAATCCAGGCATGAAATGATAATGGCTTACATTAGAGTATAATTTAGAAGAAATTAAGAGGAAAGAAAGTAATCAAGAAGCATTTTAATGTCATATTAATATTTTCTGATGTATCAATTATTTGAAAAAAAATGAAAAAAAACTTTTTTGGAAATTTCAGGCCAAGTTACCATTGACAGATAAACAGTGAAGGTGAACATAGAATGGGAAGAATGAGTTTGGTTTTAAAGACAGAGAAGATGATATGAAGCTTGAACTTTCTAGTGAAGAGCTTGAAGAGTTTGAAATTTAGACTGAAAGCTAGAGTTATATATATAGCATTTATTATTATAATATTAAAATTGCAACAGTGATAGTAGATAACTATTATTAAATGGAAATCAAAAGAGAAGAGGACTTGAAAAAGGAAATGATAGCTGTAAAATATAAAAGCAGAAGGGTCAAGGAGAATGCATACAGATAAAGAGCCATTGTGTTCAGCACTAACAGGTCAACCATGGATTTTCAGGAAAGCATTTTTAATAGAGTAGCAGGTGTGTATAATAAGCATAATTCTATACGCATTTCTCCATGGCTGCTCTTCTGTGCTTTGCATATGCCTCAGTATGTTTGCACTTGATGTTTCCTCTGCCCAGCCTGAGCTTCGCCAGATTTTCCTAGGACTGGCTCCTTCACTTTGTAAGGCTTACTTGTCAGCGACCTCCCTTCATTATTCTGTTTGTAACTCCCCCAACCCCTCAAAATCCATTCTGTCTACAGTAATTGCTCTTGTTTCTTCATAGCATGTTTTTTTCAGATAGTATCTCATTTATTTATTATTTATCTCACCCACTGTAAACTCTCATCTGAGAGTAGTAACTTTGTCAGTCTTGTTATGTACTATATCCTTAATGCTTAGAGTAATTCTTGACATATTGTAGATACTCAGTAAGTATTTGTTGGATGAATGAATGAATGAGTAGATAGGAAGTCGGTTTAAGAAGAAATAATAGTACTAAATCAGATTTC